GTCACCCCCCCGCTGCCACTAGCGATTAGCGCGGGCGGGCGGACGATGATGATGGGGGGGTGGAGGGGGACGGGGGGAGAGGGAGGCCGAGGAGGGGAAGTATAAGCCTTGGAGGACGAGGTGCAGGAGGAGGCAGAGGCTATGATGGGGGTGGAGGCGGAAGCGGGGGGTGCAAGAAGCGAAGAAAGAGAAAGCGGGGGAGAGGGGGAGGGAAGTGAACGGGTGGCGATGTGTTGGGCGAAACGGCATTTCAGATTTCACCCTCTGCCCGCCACGCACCCCCTCATCTGCGGCGCCTCGCTGGGAGCTTCCTGGGCGTGCCCGGACCGTCGGAAATTGCAGCTTCTGGCCCGTCCTGCTGACAAGACATTTGAGGGCCCTGCCTCGTGAGGTGTCGCGACGGAACTCGCGACGGGCGATCTTCGACCTCCGCAGTTGGAGGTGGCCAGGGGGTCTCAGCTGGTTGCGGCCATAGAAAATCGGCACAGAAGGGGGATGAAGCCCAATCCGTTCAAAATCGGTTTCCAGACCCCTCGCGGGGTCCATCTGGTGCAGTTTCTCGCCCCGGATCCGTTCCTTACGGCCCTGGGGCCCGAAAACGGCCGCCAAGGGCCCGATAAATGCCCCCCCCCACCACCAAAAAACCACAACAACAAAACTTCCCGAACCCAGAACCTCGTAACTGCCCGCCCGTTCTGCTCGCTGGAACCATTGCTGGGCCACCTCAGACCCCAGCCGACTCCAACACCGCTACAAGCTTCACATCTCGCGGGTCGGCCTCAAGCGGCGGGCCACCTCCAGACTCTGGCACGGCTCAGCGCCCGGGCCGCCCCTCTCTGGCACCGGCTCGACCAAGATCTCGGGGCATGCGGGAGCCACCTGGTGGTCTCCACCGACTCTGCCAGTAGAAGAAGAAGAAGAAGAAGAAGAAGAAGAACACAAAAAAAACGCCATTAATATGGCGCGCGGAGCGCGCCAGAGGGAGGCCCAGCGCAGATCCAAGTAGTCCGCGCGGAGCGCCAAAAGTCTATGTTTATGGCGTTATTTTTTTCTTCGAGCCTGGGAGGAGGGGTGAGGACACAGGAAGGAGGACGCGAAGGAGGTGGGAGGGAGAGTGCAGAAGGGACGGAGAGAAGGGAGTGCGGGAGCGAGGGGACCAGAAAGCTGGGGAGGGAAGGGAAGGAGGGGGGGACGAGGGAGTGAGGGATGGAGGAGCCGAGGGACCGAGGGAGCGAGGGAGGGAGGGAGGGAGGGAGCGAGGGAGGGAGGGAGGGGGAAAGGGAGGGAGGGGGAGGAGGGAGGAGGAGGAGGAGGAGGAGGGGGAGGAGGAGGAGGAGGAGGAGGAGACGAGCGTAGAGGGAGTCAAAGGTCGATCCACCCGCCTAGGAGCCCCTCGGCACCTGGCGCTTCTCGACGCCCGTGGCGGAGGAAGACGAGACAGCAGCGAAGGACGCAGCAGCGGTAGCAGCAGCGAACGGACGCGCCTCGGGTGCAGGCGAGCGGGGCACACCTGCTGTTGTAGCTGGTGCACTCGTGGTCGACGCGGCCGTCGACGGGCGAAGATTCGTTTCAATCCGAGAGCCTATTTCAATCTGCACAGGGGGCGCAGCGGTCTTTATATTCGGAGGACAAGGAGCAGCAGCAGGAGGGATCGAAGCAAAGGAAGAGGGAAGGAGGGACAGCGACGGGCAGACGTGCACACTGTTTTCGGCGCACACGCTCACACCGTCCTGTCCGCTGACCCCTGTTACGGGTGGGAGGTCACTCCACAGGTCGGGACGACCAGCGTTGGTACTCTCACGCGTATCCCGAGAGGCGCAGACCCCAAACAGGCCAGCACGGGGAAACGCGGCGGCGGCACGAGCAGGAGGCGGCGCAGCACGCGGGGTGCGAGCACTGTTTGGACGCTCCCCGCAAAAGGGCCCTCCAGGCCGAAACGCTGGGCTCACACAGGCGCTAGCAAGGCTACCGAGGCTCGGGAGGCTGGGACCCACACCACCAGCAGCCACACATGGCTTCAGAGGAGGGACACCACCAGGATCAGCAACAGGGCTACCGAGGTCCAGCGATCGCTCAGAGCGGTCAGCCAAGAGCAGCTCAACGGGTCCCGCGACAAGTCCAGAGGCACAGGCATCGTCGGGGTTTCGAGCGGGTACCTCAGTACGAGTGGATAGAGGCGAGCAGCCTGCAACATAGGGGTAAAGCAAGTTCACAGACGGGGCCGCTCCAGGGCCAGAGAAGACCGCCGAACACGAAGATGACGCAGTGCCCGAAGCAGACAATGCCGAGCTCGAAGTGGCTGCAGGGAGGTCGCGCCCAGAACCAGCTTGAGACGCCAGCTCACAATTCACTCCTGAGCCCTTATTTCCATCAGAGGCGGTCGACCTCCGTGCTTGAGACACCAGCTCACTCCTTACTCCTGAGCCCTTATTTCCATCAGAGGCGGTCGACCTCCGTGCAAGAGACGTGATCTCACAACTTACTCCTGAGCCCTTATTTCCATCAGAGGCGGTCGACCTCCGAACTTGAGACAAAGGCTCACAACTTACTCCAGAGCCGTTATTTCCATCAGAGGCGGTCGACCTCCGCGATCTAACGCCAGTGGCCGCAGGGCTCGAGGAGCACCCTGCAGCAGAAACCTGGAGAAGGAAAGAGGCAGGGTCGTCGTCCCCATCTCCGTCGGCGTCATCACTATCTTCAGATTCCATTGCTGAGACAGGTAAAGAATGGTAGTGGACCGATCCGTTGGCAGTAACGGTGGGCAGGACCTCGTCTCCATCGCTGTCCACAAGGAAGTCGCGTACACGTTGCGGCGCAGCGGGTCCCATGTATTGCCTCATCTCTCTGCGTATCTCACGAAGTGCCTGGTAATGTCGATCAGCCGCCTCCTCCCATCGCTCGTGTCGAGTCAAGGCGTGGCGAGGCTCATTCAGCCACCGAAGGTATGCCACAATGTTGAGGCGCCCCTCAAGAGAAGTGTCCCAGGCAACCGTGCAAATATGACGAGCGAGTTCGTCGAGTGTGCCATCCCAACCAGAAGAATCCACCCATTCCATCGCATCTAATTTGGCGCGCACGTACGGGATGCACCACAGCCACCAGTCAGCACGGCCACCCTCGGGATCATCCAGGCGCAAGACCCAGCGCGTAGCCCTCGAGGCAATACCTTCGGCAAAGACAGCTGGTGGGGCATCCTCCGCAGAGGTAGAATGTGGATGGCCAGCAAGATTCAGAACAGGAGTTCCAGGTGACGGCGTCGACAGCGGAGGGGTGGCAGCGCTAGGGCACATCAGCTGTTCAGGAAGAGCAGGGTCCTCTCGCACAGGGAGCCCGCCAGCACGAAGGCGGTCGACACGCTTGATGGTCGCTCGATATTCACGCTCGAGCCGTGCCACATCCACCTCACATGTGGTTGGGACAGTCAGCGTCGCTGCACGGACCGCGGAGAGCGCCACGGTGGCGGTCAGCGGCCACGAGAACATGGATGCCGCAGGCTGCGGCGAGGTTGCCGCGGGAACGGGCGCCCGCACGTTCACGTCCTGCCCTGAGGGCAGGGCCTCGCACTGAGCCAAAGCGCCAGCAGACAAGGGCACAGGGAACTCTGGCTGGAGAGCAGGTTGGCCGTCTTCATCCGAGCCCGTGGGAGAACCCGAAAGAGCACCACCGCGCACCGAATAACTAGGCCACACATCGTCGTCAGACGGAGTGGGTGGGACCAGGCCAGGGATAGGGGCCGCGGCGTCGGAGCTCACACTGGTGGTGGACGAGGAAGTGAGCACATCCGACTGAGGCTGCCTGCGGCGGATCGCCTGGACATCGGGAGGAGGCTCCCACCGTTTCAACTTGTCCGAAGGTCTGGCCAGACGAGAGGTGCGGACGGCGGCCTCAACATAACCGCGTAGCTGACGAGGAGTCGACACGAGCGCACCCTGCCGAGCATGGTTGAAGACCTGATAATAGACATAGAGAGCCTCGAAGTGGTCAGGGTGGGGATGGGTAAGGCCAAGACGCTGAGCAAGGGGACGAGGCAGGGCACGTTGTAGTCCCTTGCTGACTGCCTGGTACAGTTTAGGGCAGCGGAGATAATGCTGCTGCCGATCTGGGCCAGGGCATCCGAAACGGCAACGAAGTTTACCCCGTGGGTGGATAATCCTATAGGACGTCAGCCATCCATGCCCCCAAGTCCGCAAGGCCGCCATAGCCCAGCTTTGCGGGACCAACGCCAGAAGCTCCTGAATAGCGGGCCAGTGAATCTGGTTGAGGAAGGGGTGGTAAGCCGTGAAGAGCGGGGTTAAGTGGCGAATCAGCATAGCGTGCAGAGGTTTGTGCATACACATATTCTGACCCAGTGAGCGAGCAGCCGCACGTTGCAGCTTGGGTCTTCGTGTCGTAACCTCAGCTTCCTCACGAATAGCCGAGCGAGCAGCAACAAGCAGGGGCTCCTGAGACCTCACGTGGACCAGCTCAAGGTGTTCGACGAACGCAGGGGATTTCCAGAAAGCTGGATAAACACGAGAGCGATCCATAGAACCCAACGGGATAGCATCAAACTTCCCCTCCACGACCTCTCTGTGCCAAAGCGAAGCCGTCTGCCGCAGCAGCCGCAGGTATTTCTCATAGCCCTGGAAGGTGTGAATAGCAGCACGAAGGTGAGCAGCAGTAGCATGGGCAGCCCACGATGGGATCTGAGGTCCACCCCAGGCCGGGAGCTCCAGGACCGATTCGTTCGAAAAGAGGCCGAGGGGAGCTCGAAGAACTTGGGCGATAGCACCACGTTCAATGGGCAGAAACCATTCAGGCATAGGAAGGAATTGTGCCACATAGGCCAAACAAGGATAAACACGCGTGCGGTATAAGATACAGTTGGTACAGACCGATGCAACCCCACGTCCCAACATCCGAGAGCGAGATCGTGCCTTCATGAGCGGGCCCTTCCAGTTCATGTCGACCGTCGCATCAGGGCCCAAAATCATCCCAAGATAAATTAACCACCCCTCAACAGCAAAGCCTGACCAGGCACCCGCGATCGAGGCCAGCTGGGCCTGGGTCATAGTTTTCAGGGTTTCGGTCATGCCGCCTACGAGAGGGGCCAGGGTGCACTTGCTGATCTTAATCTTGAGGCCCGCAATCTTTTCCATGACCCCAAGGACCCGCACCAGGATACGCAGAGAGGCCAGCTCATACAGGACAGCGCCTAGATCATCGGCACAAGCACGGCATATCCCCAGCCGACGATGCTCGATGCTCCGCTCGAGGTCGGCCAGCATGGGAGAGGAGGCGAGAGCATATAAAGACCCCGAGAGACCACAGCCCTGGATGATGCCCGAGCGGATCCAGAAGATGGTCGCGTAGCGTCCCCCATCATGGACCACACCTTCCACTGCCAAATACATCCATCCCACGAAAGCAAGAACCTCGGCGGGGAGCCCAAGAGAGCCTAACAGTTGTAGCAGGAAGGCCTGCGACAAGCTCGGAAAGGCCTGCCCGTAGTCGAACCCGACGAGGACAGGGGAACGGCGCTCAGCAAGGGGATGTTGAGATGCAAGCCGAGCATGGGCATCGAGCTCAAGCACGTTATAGCAGAAATTCCGTCCTCTGATGAAGCCTCTCTGGGAAGCGGGTGCCACGGCTTGGACGACAGGCTCGAGGACCCGATTCATGACCGAGCTCAGGATCTTAACGTCGGTGTTTCGCAGCCCCAGGACCCGTATCTTATCAGGAGACCGAGAACATACCCCAGACGGCTGATCTGAGTCGTCAACACCTTTGGGGAGAAACGCCTGGAGGGTGACGCTGGCGGAGGCGAACAACGACTGACCTTGGCATAGCCACCCGAACATTCTGGCCAGGTGCTGGGCGCCATAGTCGCACGCCGACCAGGCCGCGTAGGGCAGCCCGTCGACACCAGGAGCAGAGTGACGGGCACGCCGAAGAACCTTCCGAAACATTGAGGTCAGAGGACAGCGCAGGTCTATGTCGGAGGCCTTGGTGAGGAACCTGTCGAGGTACATCTGGGTCATGACAGGGTGGGGCTCTTTCCTGGAGAAGACAGGGGTCCAGTAGGCCGCCAGGGCCGCAGTGCGCTCCCGAACCTCTGAGATGGGGCCCTCTGGGGCGTTGACCGCGGACAGAATCAGGCGCTTCGAAAACGGGGCCCATATGGAGGCCTTCCTCTCGAGAGCTCGCAAAAGCGTGGCCGAACTAGGCCGCCAAGCTGAGGAGGAGCCTGAGGGAGCACGATCAGCAGCAGCAGCAGCAAGCTCTTTTTCATATACCAGCCGATGTACTCCAGCAGCCCACTGCTCGAAGGACGGGGCGTGGCGCAGCGAGACGACCTGGCCGTCGACCGTCAGAGCGTCGGCGGCGTGCTGGGAGGTCTCGATGAGCTTGAGGGCGAGGGCAGCATCTTGACGCCACACAGCTCGCGCTATCCCACGAGCAACCAGCTGCAGCGTCCCAGGCAAGTCTGGGGCCGAATAGAAGAGGATGTTGCGGGCCTCCCTGGCGGCCTCCTTCATCATGTACTTATAGTGCTCTGTGGCCACAGGTGGACTCCATCGAAGCAAATCCTCATCACTAACAGCAACCATTCCTCGGAGTCGGCGCTGAAAGGCAACAGAGGTGAAGATGTGCTTGGGTATGGGCCGCTCAGAGGCAGGACGCGCACCACGAAGTCGCAGCCGAACCGAAAGAGCAGCATGATCAGAGATGCCCTGGGAGCTCAGGTGCTCTGGCGTGTCCACCGCGTTGACCTCGGTCATGAGCTGACACATCATCCAGCCTGTGGCAGAGCAGAAGAAGCGGTCGATGATGTTGATGGAATTGGTGAACTTGCAGAAGTGGGTAGCCGCTTCCGAGTTAACTTCCATCATCTTGCCAAGTGTAGCAGCCCAAAGCGGAGCATGAACCTTATGATCATGGGTCTGCTGCCGCTGCACACCAGTAGGTCGGTGAAAGATAAGAGAAGAATCAAAACTGTAGTTGAGGTCCCCCAAGACAACCACAAAGTACGAGAGGGGGTTATCAGCAGCGCGACGCAGAGCACAACCGATCTGCTCACAGACAGATTGTACCTCACCCTTGGTCAAGCCGTGATTGTGAACGTTGAAGATCACCAGCTGTGTATGCCCAAGTGCCACATCAACACGAAGCACCCTGCCTCTGACCAGAGGCACCGCACAGCTACTGACCGAAGTAGATGAGAAAGGTGGAAGAATGACGGCAACTCCCCCAGAGCCGCGGACAACCTCTCCATCATCATCTTCACAAAAGCTACTGTGAACAATGGCCGTGGAAGAAAGCCTTGTCACAAAGTCGTTCAACTCAAACCGATCTGCATGCACTTCTTGGAGAGCCAAGATGGATCGCCCAGGCTGCAGTCTGCTTAGGTAAGATAGCTTAGGCGAGGCCCTCGCCCCACCAAATTGAAGAAGAGCACGTGCATTCCAGGTCATGAATGTGAGGCTGGCTGTGATCTCTCCGCCGACCTGCCCCACTGGAAGCACAAACATACTAGTAATGGCGTCAAAGACACCACTGGGTGGCCGTCGGCGCAGCGGTGACGTTTCGAATGGCTCCCTGAAGGTCCCGACGGTCAAGGCCAAGGGCGCGGATCCCCACGTCGTTCCAAGAGATCTCAGGAGGTTCGTCACCTGGCCGTGGAACAAGACGAAGGATGTCGGTGTAGTCAGACTTGAGAACGCTCCGCTCCCGATCGACATACCACCTCCTCTGGCTGTCAATCTCCATGAGGGAAGAGCGGACCTTACGAAGGAGCATCTCGCCACGAACTTGTTTCGGCGACTTGTCGGGACCGAAGTGAAGACGGGCTGGATCAGCACCTTGAGCAGGGCACTGGAAGACCCGCCAGGCGCCGTCCGTCTTGAGGTTAGCAAGGGCCTTTTGCACCCGGCGGGAGGCAAGTCCGATCGGCCCAGAAAAGCAGACGGCAAACTTTTTTGAGGGAAGCGGCGTGAGGGCCTTGATCGTGTACGAGTCTCCCTCAGAGAAGTTGAGCTCACCCATGAAAGAGTTGACCACCTCACGGACGCCAGCCAGACCGACGAGCTTGGACGAGACCACAATGACCTGCGACGGATCGATCTCGCGGTCGAAGCCAGGCGGGGCAGGTGGCCGCGAAGGTAGCTGTCGGTCCAGCTCATTCTGGCGGCGAAGCTCCTCGACCTGCTTCTGTAGCTCAGCCAGCTGAGTGGCGTGGGCCTCGATGTCCCGCTCGGTGTAATCGACCCGACGGCTGAGGGCATCATGCTGCTCTTGAAACTGGCGCTGCATAGCATCGAACTGTGGGCGCACCGAGGCCATGACCTGCTGATCGATGGAGGTGTGCTGCGAGGAGAGCTGCTTCTGCAATGTGGCGAGCGTGGCCAAGATAGGGGCGTTCGACTGCTGGACGGAGTTGGTGACGGCCGTGGTAACGATGTTGTCGAACTCACTGCGCAGCTGCAGGAATCTCGCGGAGATGTCGGCATGGTAAAAGGCCCGAGTGAAGGCGGCTTGCTCCTCCTCATCACCCCAGTCAGCAGCACCACCAGCAGCAGCCTGAGCCCGCGAGAGAACGCCAGCCCCTGCCGCCGCGGCCCATGGGTCGAAGTGCCCAGCAGCGGGGCCATGCGGGGTGGCGTGCGGGTCGGGGCGCATCTCCTGCGACGGGAAGGTAGCAACCATCTCCAGGTCTGCAGCCACTTGTGCCCGCTTGGCATCATCCCACTCCTCGTGGGGCATAGCCTGAGCCCCATGGCTGGAGGCAGCACCCCGAGATGCGCCCTGTGCTGCAGGGTCGGGGCCCCGATGCGAGGCAGCAGCACCAGGAGAAGGTGGGACGTCCCAGCCAGAGCCACGAGTACGGCCAGCACGGCGAGCACGGCGAGGAGGCTCAGGAGCAGGTCCAGCGGTGCCGTGGGAGGACGGCCGAGCGCGAGCGGCACGACGGGCTCCTCGGCTGCCACCGCTCCGAGAGGCAGAGCGGCGTGGCTCCTCAGAGGAATCACGGCCACCAGAGGAGGCGAGCTCCGTATCAGCGTCATCACCACCATCGAGACGATGTGCAGCAGGGTGCGGGCGGTCGCAGGTGGCAGGGCCCATGGCGCCGCAGAGCACGTCGTTGGAGCCAAAACTGGGAGCGTGCTGGGGCGCACGACAGGTAAGAGAGAGGCGTCCTGGCCTCGGAAGGTTCGGGCCTCCCTGTCGCCTGCAACAAGGCTGAAGCCCCAGGGCAGGTTTCAACCTTGAGCCAAAATGGCTACGGAGGAGGAGGAGGAGGAGGAGGAGGAGGAGGAGGAGGAGGAGGAGGAGAGGGAATCGGGCCGATTGTTCAGGGAACGGGGAGGGGGGCCGGAGGGGGGGCAATACACGTGGGGTCAAGAGACGTGCACCTTTCGCGCACACCTTGGGCCCGCGGTCTCAGTTTAGGGGCCGCTAAGGGTTTTACTGCAGGGCCACTTTCCTGCAATCATGGATTCCTCCACGGCCGCTGCTCCCCGTTGCCATCCGCCCGACGAGGGAGGACGGGAAGCGAGCGAACTCTGACTGCCAACCAGACCACCCCAACCTAACCAGAAAACCCACGTTTCGGGTTGAGGGGAGGACGGGCTCCGCACGTGCTTTTTCAGTGCTCCCCGACACCCGCTTCACTGGAAACACAAGGTAAACTTGAGCCTTCGAGCCAGGCTGGGGTGGTCTGGTGGGCGGTCAAACTCCAGCCTCGCGCTGGCGGAGGAGGACGCTGAGGCCGAGGCGCGCGGCAGATCTCGGCGGCAGCGGCGGACCCGTCTGCGCAGGCTCGCACACCTTGGAGGGGTGTCGGCTCGGAGCGGCGACGGCGGGGGTTCGCGAGCGAGCCTCGCTCCGCAACGCCACGCCACCCCACGAGCCTTGGCCTCTGCCGCACCTCCTGGAGACCCAGATCCCCTCGCGTCGTAAAACAAATGACGGACGGCTTGCTGATATTTTCGGCCCCTGTGGGCCAACGCCGGGCCCCGGGACCACCAAGAAACGACTAAAGTTGGAAACTCTGTCCCGGGGAATGGGTCGAGACCTCTGGAGATCACTGTCGTAAGAAAATCTGGACGTCGGGGGTCTGGGGAGGGAGCCTGGCCACCAGAACCACCACCAGGGGGGCGAGCAGCGCTCGCTGGCTTGCGGGACGCGGATGTGCAGAATGCCGTCCGAAGGCGCTTCGCTATCACAGAGTGGGCTAAGCAGGGGATCGCCAGCAAAGCGCAGAGGTCGTGAACGCTGTGCCGCGATGCCCGAGCAACCACACATCAGGGGTCATCTCTCCCCCTTTTCCTGAACCAAGTCCAAGTCCTTGGTAATCGGTGTCGCCCCCCTCTTTTTTCCCTCCTCCGCCTTCCCCTGGTCCTCCTGCTCCTCCTGCCCTTTACACTCCAGTTCCTGGTGGTGGTGCTGCTGCTGCTGCTGCTGCTGCTGCTGCTGCTGCATTCCCGATTACGCACCGTGGATTTCGGGGTCCGCTGTGACACGCGTCCGCGGATAGAGAGCAGGCCAGCGCAGTGGGAAGGGATGGAGTGCAGGATGGCAAACATGGGGCAAGCGCGCTTGCTGGGTCCGGCTCGAATAAGGAACACTTACTTTTCAAAAAAAGGGTTCGGTCGTTACTTTGGTTTGCATGCGTTCCGCTACCCTTTCGGCGGCGAGCCCCCCTGGTGTTCCTTCGGACTTCGTACACTTACTTGGAAAGAAATGGGCTTCGTTCCTCATGTATCGTTCCTCAGGTCAGGCCGAAGACTGCAGCTGGCCTTCACCCCTCTCCCTTCCCCTCCTTGGCCCCCGCCCTCTCGGGGAGGCCCTCCAAGAAGGCCCTGAGGAGAGACGGCGAGAGGGCCAAAGGGGGGTCGCGCAGGGAAGACGCGCGCGACGGGGGCAAGGCGGGCAGCAAAGTCGGCAGAGCCTGGCTGTTCGAGGAGGGGGGGGGAGGAGGAGGAGGAGGAGGAGGAGGAGGAGGAGGAGGAGGAGGAGGAGGAGGAGGAGGAGGAGGAGGAGGAGGAGGAGATGGAGGAGGAGGAGGAGGAGGAGGAGGAGGTGGAGGAGGAGGAGGAGGAGGAGGAGGAGGGAGGAGGAGGAGGGGCAGGAGGGAGGGGAGGAGGAGGAGGAAGGAGGAGGAGGAGGAGGAGAGAGGAGGGAGGGGGAGGAGGAGGAGGAGGAGGAGGAGGAGGAGGAGGAGGAGGAGGAGTGCTGTGCTCGCGGGCGGCTGCATGTCAGGTGGCAACTCCTGGGAGGATCTCGCGGGCACAGTGAGGACCTGGCAGGTTGAATCAAGGAGCTGTCAGGCTGGATCCATGCACTATAGCACCCCAGAGTTAAGCTGGCGACGACTGGACTAGGCCGACTTGTACCTGATCTGGCCAGATACGGGCAGATTTGCGCCAAAGAGCTACCAGGGCCGAGGGCTGATTATTGATTCGACCTCCGTGGAAGTGCAGCATCATTCATGAATGAATGTTCTGGGATCGGGGGACCCTCCACCTAAAAGGTAACACTCAGTTGCAGTGAGTGCCCGTGAATCAAGCATCAGCTTGACCCAGACAGCTCCAAAGGATAGCATTTCGGATATTGCTTGGTAGGTATCGTTTCGTGCATGTGGCAATCATGAAAGAGAGGGAGATGGCAAACGTGCTGCAGGAGGTTTCGAAACAATCGGAATACTACGCCCAGGCCTGAGTTTGCACATGAGCATACGCATGCAGAAAAAAAGAAGCACCCATAGCACCTACGAAGTAACCAGATAAGAAAATGAAACACCTCAAATGTCATACTGAGCTTCTCATTACCCCCTTCAGAGAGGAAAACATAACAGACGCACTACGAGGCGACTACGAGGGACGAAACGACGACGCGCGAGAAGACTACGCGCGACGCCTACAGCAAGAGTTACCAGATGCCGGTGCTCGACCCTGGCACGCATACATACTAGAAACGTCATGGGTACAGTGTTCGAGACAATTGGTGGCAGTATCATGATCCTCACACCTTTCCTTAGCACTGCGTAAAGGCACATCCAATCAAACATCTGCAACTGCGCGCCTCCAAAACACCGACCTGACTGCATTCGGAAACACGTTTGGCTACATTGCAGGCG